CGCGGCAGTCGGCGGGGGCGGGCTCCGGCGGTCGGCGGGGGGGGGGGCGCGGGGGCGGCGCTTTTTTTTGCTGCTTGGGGTAGCAAAAAAACTAGAGCCGGCCCTGTTCACACCTCTCCTCCACTCCTCCGTGTGGGGAGCGAGGTGTCTTTGTTCATGCAGACTGAAATAGCCTTCCGCGAGATAACCTCAGACACCTTAGACTCTGCTGCTAATGGGCCAGGGGGTTCCCAGGCCGGGGAGGTGTCTCTTGAGCTAGAAAGGGTGGAAACTTTCCTCCCCATTTCTCCTGCTAGCCACCTGCATCTGGGAAAAACCACACCTGGGATGAGCTCAGCATGCAGAGATGGCCTGGGATTAGGGATGAGGCCAGAGGTGGATTATTGGGTCAAAGAGAGACGGGGCTGCCCCTGATCTCATTCACACTGAGGCCAGGCCACAGGGTCTGTAGCTCATGACATGGGCACAGGAACATGGAACCTGCCAGAGCGGATCAGGCCTGTATCTAGCCCCGGATCCCACCCCCAACAGTGGCCCAGCGGTAGCTGCTTCCCAGGAAGGTGTCAGAAGCACACGTTGGGCTGAAGTGGGATAATCCGCGCCCCCCCAATTCTTAGTGGTGGGAGGCAGGTTTTCTTGGTATTTATCCTGGTCGGGGGGAATGGGGGTGGGGTGTCACAGACAAGGATGCCCCGTGCACCTATCCATGTTGGTTCCACAGCTTCACGGGTAAATGAGGCACCTTCAGGAGACCAGTGGGGATATCGGTCAGTGCACGAGAGTTACTCCTACCTCGGCAGAGAGTTAATGGATTCTTCACCCCTTAGATACACCAGCTTCTCCCAGCCTAACCCAGGCCTCCCAGCTGGGGCAAAGCCCCCCAGATGCGATCGGCCATAGGGAACGGACAGGGTCGGGCTGCGATGCTTACAGAGGGATTCTGTATTGATGCTGCTGGACACAGATCCCAGGGCTCTCTCTGGCTCCCAGCCCGTGCTGCCTTTTGTCACCACATGGGTTCTCCTTAAATCCTAGCCTGGGCTACACCATCCTAGAAGGAACAGCTGGCTGCAATTCCAGGGCGCACACAAACTCTGCTGTGCTGTGGGGTCCCTGGCTGGGCAGCGCTGGCCAGGGCGGGCATTCAACATATCCCCTGGGGAGCAGAACTTCAGGGGGGAGGGCAGTAGGTCAAACACCACCCGTCCTCCCCCTGCAGTGGAATCACTGATGCAGGGGTGTGAACGGCACCTGGCCTCTGTAGATGGAAAAGCAGTAGTGAAGCAGGAACATGCAAAATTCCCCTACACAAACCCACTTTCAGTTTTGAAAGTGGCTTTGCTCGTTGGTTAGCAGACAGTGATCAGCGCTTTGATAAGAGGGGTCACATTGTGCTGCTGTTGACGGGGCGTAAGTTGGGGGTGGCTCGGCTGAACTCAGTAGAGCTGCCCCAGTTTTACACGGGTGGACGTAAGAACAAGAGGCAGGGCCCAGGTGGCGCATTTCAGGGTAGCAAAGATAGTTAGAGGAATGAATGATGGCGTGTAGGGATGTACGCAGCCCCCCCCTTGCCTGCTGCAGGGCAGGTGTCGGATGACGTGCAGTGGGGGAGGCCGGGGGCAGATTGCTGAACCACAAGGATGAACATAACTACTAACCACTATTGCACCCGGGATGAAACTCCCCCCGTGAACAAAGCCAAGGTATCGCTTATGCCCCCTTCAGCCCACACAACTCTGCACTCTCACTCTGCACAGGGGTGAATTTCACCCACCTCCGCAAAGCCAGTGGGCAG